TTTGCACATGCTCTTCCTCCTCTTTGTGCGCTCTTCCTCTCTTGCACACACTCTCCTTCCCTCACATATGCACTCTCTCCCTTCCTAGAATTGTGCTCGAGTTTGAATTTTTTCTTTCTTTCAGAGTAAGACAAATATAAGGTTTTACTGTAGTATCTATTTATAAAAGAAAATACTCTGGTTATGTGCAGCACAGGGTAATGCAGAATTGTTGAGAGTGTTTGTAAGAGTTTTCTAAGTCACAGCCAGTGATTCAGTTACTCTTCCTTGGACTACATGGGAGAAATAAAAAGACTTTTGTCCCCAGCAGCCACAGACTCATCATAAGGAACATACAAGGACCTATGCTGCTATTTGTCTGTTCTATTTGAGATGCCTATCCAGCCTGTGGCAGCTTTTTGTATGACCTGTGAAATAGGTTTTCCATTACATACTGGGGAGATGTAGATTAATTAAGGTTCATTTTGAACTGATGTTTTGATAATTTCTAAGTATGGATCTGTGTGTGACCCAGGCTCTGAGGAGAGCTGGGGGCAGCATCCAGCTGACCCACCTACATTCCTGAAAAAGACTCCTATGTGTCATCATCTTGCATAAAAGAGAGGAAGGGAAGGCTAGGTAATCAAATTTCTGATTAGTAAATTGAGGATAATAGTAATTGATTTTCTGTCTCATAGCAATGTTGTAAGGACTAGGTAGCTAAGGTTTGAAGATATGAAGTATTCTACAAACCTTAATTACTATATCATATTTAGCAAACTTTCAGGGTTAAATGTTACTGTGCTCTTTTAGAAAAATTTGAGGCAATAGAGTCCACAAAAGATGAGGCATTTTTGGGTAGATAAAAAGTTTTTTTCATCAGTTATGTCATCCTGTTTAGCTTAAAGGATTGGGAGGATGAGAGGAGTGGCAGGGGTTGTGGAGTAGAAGGTGACATGTCCTGTATGTCCTTTGCTGGACTTGAATCCCTGATTGCAAGTTACTCCATAACATTTTAACCTTGCTATTTATTTTGTGTGTGTGTGTGTGTGCATGTGCACACACTTGTGCATTAAAAGAGGAATCTAAATTAAAAAGCATAGGAGGTTTGATCTGCAGCTTTATATATCATTCAACCCCAAAGCGCTTCACAAATTGTAAAGTGGTGTTCTGCACCTCCTTTAAAAATCCATTAATCATGTAGGGGGTGGGGTGAAGAAGGTGGCACATGTGATATTTTCCTAGCTGTGCCAGCCAAACTTTGAACACCTATGTTAATAATACATTTCCCTCTGTCCTTTAGCACTTTGCTTCCCATTCCAAAACTTGTTGTATTTAAGCAAAAAAATACGATAATTTTCTCAGTGTGCTGAGGAATAGATAGTAGCAAATGGCTCTCTTCCGTCTTTCTGGATTCTTAAGTTTTTTATTGGATCCTCTCCCTCACCTTTCCAGATATTGGGCTGGAGATAGGAATAAAAGGTGTGAAGTTTCAAGGTCAATTTTATACAAGAAATTAGAGTAGATAATGGTAACAGTCTCAAACTCACAATCACATCCCTAAAAGGTCTAAAAATATTGTCTGTGACCGCACCTTAATAAGGTGAAGGTGAAATCAGTACTCTAAACAATATTATTAAAAGACATTTTATATATTGTATAAAGAAGAAAATCTGCAGGGGATAGTTAATGGGAAGGGTTGAAGGTACCATGGATTCCCTCATCATGAACATGAGAGAATTAGACTCCAAATGCGGCAGTTACTGTTTGGAAGCAATAGCAACTCTATAGGACTTTCCACCTGCTGAATAGAGCCCACGGTGCTCATTTGGTTGTTTTAGTATATTTTACAGTTTGTCTTCTTCTATTTTGTCTTTTTATTTCAACAAAATAAAATTAGAGCTCGGAAGTAAGTTGTATGATCTGTTCCTTCCTAAATTTGCAGAGTTTTCCATTGTCTGCATGCAAAAGATAAAGTCTTTATTTGTGAACTTCAGTGGTCTGATTGCTGCCATGGAAACACAATCCAGAATCATGATCTTTTGCTGTGATAAGTGAAGTTCATAAAATCAAGTTGTTTCATATTTTCTTGTAATGAATTTAAGAACAAAAGTCTGCCACTTTTATTCTAATCTGGCTGCTGCAGCTAAAGACTTACCATTACCTAAAGATACGTTTTCCAGTCTGTGCTAGATTTTGGGTTGGTTACCATTAGGTATTATCATCTTGATGTCAGCTGGCAATTTTTTTTTTCTTTCTACAATAACAATGGATTGCTCAAAATTTTAAAATTTGGTATATGAACTGGAAAATAGATGTTTCAAAGAACCTTAAGAAAATTAGAAAATATATATTCTGCAAATTGTTTGAGAGAGTAATCACCAAAACACTAGGATTATCATTCTCTAGTCAAATCATTGCATGCTTATCTCTGAGTTTTGTTCTGGGGCAGTAATGATATAACTCATTCCTTTGGAGGCTCCTCCATAATATTTGCTTTAGAATTTAGCTTGTAGCTTGTAGCCTCTGAAAGCACTGTTTCTATAAACTGCCTTTACATTGTACTCTGAAGGAAGCCTCCAGATGAAGAAGAGTGTGTGACATTCCAATAACAAGCTGCTGGAATTTTAATGTTATACGAACAATTGATTTCTACCTTAACAGAGTTATTCCCACATATTAAGGAAAATATTTCAGAGCATTCTTCTTCATGGAGGTTAGCCTAGATGTGAAAGGCAAATATATGGTAACTAAATATCTGACAGAGACTTCTGATTTTGGAGTATCTCCCCAAAATCTTTTATTTAAAAAACAAAAAAAAACCCCAAACCCAAACTTGGTACATTTTACTAATTAATAATAATGTAGTTAGCGAAGAGAAAATATACCCTTGATTCTTCTTTCATAATTTTTACAGCAGTCTAGTTTAAATAGTGCATTGGAAAGGAATGTCTAATGTAAGTTTAAAATGTAACCATATTTAAATTCACAAATGTTCAGAGCAATAAGAAAATTAAATGTATTGACAAGTATGTTGGTTATTTAGCTGCTGATCAGATAGAAGTTCTGTTTAAAGTAATGAGAAACTCACTTATCACTGTATTTCCATCAAGTTAAAACACCTGCTAATCCAATCCATTTCTGACAGAACAGGGCTAATACCTGTATCTAGTCATGTAGGCATGGGAAGATTCATGATTGCTACAACATTAATGACAAAAAAGCATTTGTTCTGTGTTTCTTCCTATATCTACTTGTAATGATACTGAGACTTGGATGAATGTTTTGGCTTTCTTTCATATAGTCTGGTTAAATTGTTATCTCCCTTTTTGAATGCAACTTTATCCATGGAAAACAGTAGTCTTGAGGACATAACATTTCCTTGTTCTTTTTCTTTTGGGATATTGAAGAGGCATGATTCTCATTGTACCAGACACAAAATCAGTTCTGACTTTATACAAAGCACTTGAGGCATTGTCCATGCAGTTAACTGTTCTTGTAAGTTTTATGCATGCTTTTTAGAAGTCCTAAGATGACCACACAGGTGAACAGATGCACACACAAAAATCTGACTTAAAATTCCACTTTTTAGATTAAGAAGTGTAAAAATGGAACAAAGGAAACTGAACGATCAAGCCAACACTTTGGTGGACCTGGCAAAGGTTAGTAGGCAATTATTGTTATTTTGTATCAACATTCATCCTTTCCAAATGAAGAGTGAAAATGTTATGAACTATACATGCAAATATTGTTTAAAAGTTTGTTAATTTTAGAAGATGAAAAAAAAAATCTGTTTTGAGTTAACATTTATTAAGTGAAACATCTTATTTATGGCTCTGAACAAGATTTGAATGTACCTTTTATTTTTTGAACATTTGGAAAAGATTTCATAACTGAGGGGCTGATCCTGAGAGCTGCTGAAACAGACTGCTGTGATCACGGCAAATGCTTAGGATGAACTTTGACTAGGCAATGTTTGTGTAGTCCTGTATAATAAAGAGATTTCTTGTCTGGAGACAGACTACGCTGTGAGGGACTATAGTTCACAGGCCCTCACACAGACTGAACTTGGGGGTTGTGGTTTTCCATTCCCGTTCTCTTATGAAGCAGTGACTTTAGACAAATAACTTTAGGTTTGTATTTGTTCCAAGTTTTTATAATGAATAATAACTGCCCACTTTGCTGATATATTATAAGGATTTGTTATTCTTTTTAAAGCTATTTAAGATCAACTAAAAGAGACTATCCAATTGCAAACTGTTAGAGCCAGGTCCAGCAGTCTGAGAGAGGCGAGGCTGCTGCAGCCCCATGCCCCCAGATCCAACCATTAGAGAAGCTGAAGATGCATTCCCAGTAGCCACACGCACACAGATCAGGCTTATACATCACATATATACATGGCTGGCCACACAGATCAAAGACAAACACACACAGAGCACTCATACAAACACAGACAGCACCAACAGCCTCATGCTGCTCTCCTCTCTGGCTGAGCAGGACCACAGAATGGTTGAGGTTGGAAGGGACCTCTGGAGGTCATCTGGTCCAACCTCTCTGTTCAAGCAGGGCCACCTAGAGCTGGTTGTCCAGAACCACGTACAGATGGCTTTTGAATATGTCCCAGGAAGCAGACTCCACAACCTCCCCAGGCAACTTGTTCCAGTGCTCGGTCACCCTCACAGTAAAAAAGTATTCTCTGATGTTCAGACAGAACCTCCCGTGCTTCCATTTCTGCCCATTGCCTCTTGTCCTGTGTCCTGTCACTGGGCACCACTGAAAAGAGCCTGTCTCCATCCTCTTACATGCCCCCTTCAGGTATTCCTATACATTAGAATCATAGAATCATTTAGGTTGGAAAAGACCCTTAAGAACATTGAGTCCAACTAAAAGTATTCTCTGATGTTCAGACAGAACCTCCCGTGCTTCCATTTCTGCCCATTGCCTCTTGTCCTGTGTCCTGTCACTGGGCACCACTGAAAAGAGCCTGTCTCCATCCTCTTACATGCCCCCTTCAGGTATTCCTATACATTAGAATCATAGAATCATTTAGGTTGGAAAAGACCCTTAAGAACATTGAGTCCAACTGTTAAACTAACACTGCCTAGTCCACCACTAAACCATGTCCTTAAGTGCCACGTCTACACATCTTTTAAATACCTCCA